CCCAGCCCCACACCCACCGCCCACCCGACCCAGACCCGCCCAGCCCCACCCACACCCGTCCAGCCCACCCAGACCCACCCAGACCCACCCACACCTGTCCAGACCCACCCAGACCCAACCACACTGTCCAGACCCACCCACCCGCCCAGACCCACCCAGACCCACCCAGAGACCCCCCCACCCACCCACCCACCCACCCACCCGCCCAGACCCACCCACACCTGTCCAGACCCACCCAGACCCACCCAGACCCACCCAGACCCACCCACACCTGTCCAGACCCACCCAGACCCGCCCACACCTGTCCAGACCCTCCCAGACCCCCCCAGCCCCACCCAGACCCGCCCACACCTGTCCAGACCCTCCCAGACCCGCCCACACCCAACTGGACCCATCTACACCTGCCCACACCACCTGGACCCGCTCGTACCCACCCAGCCCCACCCAGACCCGCCCACACCCACCTGGACAAGCTCGCACCTGCCACACCCCACCCAGACCGATCCGCACTCGCCCACACCGACCCAGACCGGTCCACACCGGCCAAGAACCACCCAGCCCCACCACACCCGCCCAGACCCACCCAGACCCACCCAGCCTCACCCAGAATCGTGCACACCTACCCAGACCCACTGACACCGCCGACACCCACCCAGACCCGCCCAGTACAGCACCACACCTGCCCAGACCTTCGCACACTTACCCAGACCCGCCAAAACCCACCCACACCCACCCAGACTCACCTAGACCCAATCATAAAGAATTCTCTCCAGTTCAGTTTTATATTTATATTATGAGCAGTTTAAAATGTTGTAAAGTGAGATTCTGTTTGAAGTTCGTGTCATAAACACGTCCAGAAGAATCAACAAAAACACTGTAGGTCTAAACTACAGGGTTTGCAGCTTTGAGGCGGAATAAGACGAGAGATTCTGTTGTTTGTGGAGAAAATTAAAAAATTTAGATTTGATTGCGATTTGTCTTGGAGCTTATTGTAAACACAGTAGAGGAAAATGACACGAAATCATCACATTCTAGGATCTAAAAACCACCCAAACAAAGGCTTTAGTCGAGGGGGTGAAGTGTTTTGCTCTGCACTGGGTGGAGCTGGGATTAAACTACCAACCCTCTGGTTACAGGGCGTCTGCTGCTCCCCCTGAGCCACAGCGGTGCAGTGGGAGTGGTCTGTGTGGTCCGTGTGGTCTGTGTGGTCTCGTGTGGTCCGTGTGGTCCGTGTGGTCCGTGTGGTCCGTGTGGTCTCTGTGGTCTGTGTGGTCCGTGTGGTCTCTGTGGTCTGTGTGGTCCGTGTGGTCTCTGTGGTCTGTGTGGTCCGTGTGGTCTGTGTGGTCTCTGTGGTCCGTGTGGTCCGTGTGGTCTCTGTGGTCCGTGTGGTCTGTGTGGTCTCTGTGGTCTGTGTGGTCCGTGTGGTCTCTGTGGTCCGTGTGGTCTGTGTGGTCTGTGTGGTCTCTGTGGTCCGTGTGGTCTGTGTGGTCTCTGTGGTCTGTGTGGTCTCTGTGGTCCGTGTGGTCCGTGTGGTCTGTGTGGTCTCTGTGGTCCGTGTGGTCGTGTGGTCCTGTGGTCTGTGTGGTCTCTGTGGTCTCGTGTGGTCGTGTGGTCTGTGTGGTCTCTGTGGTCCGTGTGGTCTGTGTGGTCTCTGTGGTCTCTGTGGTCTGTGTGGTCCGTGTGGTCTCTGTGGTCTCTGTGGTCCGTGTGGTCTGTGTGGTCTCTGTGGTCTGTGTGGTCTGTGTGGTCTCTGTGGTCTCTGTGGTCTGTGTGGTCCGTGTGGTCTCTGTGGTCTCGTCTCTTGTCGCTCTGATTCTGAGTCATGTTTTGTTTTGGAGGTTCATGAATATTTGATGATTGTGCAGCTCCTCAGTTCAGCCTCTGAGTCTGGGACCAGAACACGACACGATTGTCTCCAGATTATGTTTCTGCTGCGTAAAAGTGACATTTACTGTTTAAAAAGAGTCACAAATCTGTGGTTTTACATCGTCGCAGGAGGATCAGCCTTTATACGATTCATACGACAAAACTGTACAGTTCCTTTAGTCGACTCTGACCGGCCCCTTTAAGCTCTTTTGTATTGTACATATTTTATAATTTTACCTCCTACATGGACTAAAGCTGCAGTGCTTTTATTTTAGAGGTGTTTTTTTTGTAAGACAACCTCACTTTTTTTTTTTATAGCTGAGTCATAACATAAACTCTCCCCAGTCTGAGCAGCTCATCAAAACAATGAGTTTTTCTGCTTTTTATAAAAAAAATACTAATATTATGCAGAATTTAGTTCAGCATTTTGGCCTCAATAATATTTTCTCTGTTTTCTCTGTTCCTCCTCTCACCTCTGGTCATGAGCTCTGGGGAATGACCGAAAGGACCAGATCCAGATACAAGCGACACAAATGAGTTTCCTCCACAGGGTGTCTGGGTGTCTCCTTAGAGACAGAGTGAGGAGCTCAGTCACACAGGAGGAGCTCGGAGTAGAGCCGCTGCTCCTCCACGTCTGAGGGGAGGACGTCTGTTCTAATGTCTCCTGGGCGTCTCCCTCAGGAGGTGTTCATGTCCCACCAGGAGGAGGCCCCAGGACACACTGGAGGGACTATGTCTCTGGGCCTGGGAACACCTCAGGGTCCCCCAGAGGAGCTGGAGGAAGTGTCTGGGGACTGCTGCCCCTGTGACCCGGGGCCGGGTCACAGGGGCAGCAGAGGAAGAAAATGGATGGATGGATTTTATGCACAACTGACTCTTGTGAGCTTTAAAGAGCTTTAAAAACCCTCCTGAAGCTTTACTCCGCCTCTAAGCAAAAACTGAAAATCCTCCAGAGTGGGTGGTGCTGGCGGGTTTGGGGGGAGCGGGTGTGGGGCGGTTCTCGGTGGTTGGGGGAGCGGTTGTTATATTTTAGACCCATTTACACAGATAAAAAGAAAAAAAGAAGTGATTTTGGTGTTGAGTGGCTTTTTAAGCCAAACAAAACAAAACTCCAGGTCTGTTTGTGATGAGGAAACTACATTAGAACTGTGTCATTTGGGCCTAAACCAGTCAGACCTCCAGACCTGACCTCTCCTCTCCTCTGTCCTCTCTCCTCTGTCCTCTCTCCTCTGTCCTCTGTCCTCTCTCCTCTGTCCTCTCTCCTGTCTCCTCTCTCCTCTGTCCTCCCTCCTCTCTCCTCTCCTCTGTCCTCTCTCCTCTCTCCTCTCTCTCTCTCTCTGTCCTCTGTCTCCTCTCTCCTCTCCTCTGTCCTCTGTCCTCTGTCTCCTCTCTCCTCTGTCCTCTGTCCTCCTCTGTCCTCTGTCCTCTGTCCTCTCTCCTCTCTCCTCTGTCCTCTGTCCTCTCTCCTCTCTCCTCTGTCCTCTCCTCTCTCCTCTCTCCTCTGTCCTCTCTCCTCTCTCCTCTCTCTCTCTCTCTCCTCTCTCCTCTGTCCTCTCTCCTCTGTCTCTCTCTCTCCTCTCTCCTCTGTCCTCTCTCTCTCCTCTGTCCTCTCTCCTCTTCCTCTTTCTCTTCCTCTCTCCTCTGCCTTCTCTCCTCCTCCTCTGTCCTCTCTCCTGTCTCTCCTCTGTCCTCTGTCCTCTCTCCTCTCTCCTCTGTCCTCTCTCCTCTCTCCTCTCTCCTCCCTGCTCTCCCCTCCGCAGAGCCGGTGAGCTGCAGTCTGGCTCAGTCGGTCATGTCCATGGCGTCGTCTCACTCTCAGCACTCCCACATCAGCACGGACACGCTCTCGTCCATGTCCGGGTCGTACCTCGCCGCCCCGGACCCGGAGGCCGTGATCGACGAGGGGGCGGAGGAGCTCCAGGACGCGCCCATGGACAGCGAGCGCGGACCCTCGCAGCAGGAGGAGGTAAGTACTTTTCAAGACGGGGTTTTTCACTTCTGTGGGGTATTAACTATTAACACGTGACATACTTAAATCACCTCGTTCCTTTCTACTTAGGGCGCTGTTCTAAGTAGGTCACGCCATGTTTAGGGCCGTCTGAATGTCCAGTTGGTGAAAAAGTAGTGCACCCAAAACCTTTCTGGTCCACATTTAAGACAAAAAGCAAATACTGCGTTTTTCGGACTATGAGTCGCACTTTTTTTCATGGTTTGGGTGTTTCCTGTGACTTATACTCCGGTGCGACTTATATATTACATTGTTCCCTCGTTTATCGCGGGAGTTAAGTTCTAAAAATAACACACGATAGGTGAAATCTGCAAAGTCGTCAACTTTATATTTTACAATTATTCTATCTGTTTTAAGTGTTTCTCACACAGGACAGTTACAAACCTTTTTACATCCTTCTTAAAACTTATTGCTGCTGTCGAACTTTTTTTGTTATTTTCCTCCGTCTTTATGTAACGAACCGAAAATGAATTTATTCCATAATGGAGCCGACAGCGCAGAGTCCTGCACGGGGCCATTTTTGGAGACTCGCACCCGCGCAGGACAGGACCGCACCTGCCCGTTACCCCGAGATTATATCAAACTTTTGCGCTGCCTATGCCATGGACTGAACCAGGACTAAACCAGGACTAAACCAGGACTAAACCAGGACTAAACCAGGACTAAACCAGGACTGAACCAGGACTGAACCAGGACTAAACCAGGACTAAACCAGGACTAAACTAGGACTAAAATAGGACTAAACCAGGACTGAACTAGGACTAAACCAGGACTAAACCGGGACTAAACCAGAACTGAAACAGGACTCAGTGTCAGGGTGGGCTTAGGACCGGCTCAGCTCCGCACCTCACGGAGGTAAACGCGGCAATCGCCCAATCGTACTTATACATTTTCTTATTAAAATAAATGTTTAATAATAATTTTATTTAAACATTGAATTCAGAACAAATAGAATATAAAACAATAACACAATTTTAAATAAATAATGTCTCTATAGTCTGTCTGTAGTGGGCAGCTCTAAAACAGACTGGATTTGATCTCGTGGGCCAAATATAATTATATCACGGCCAAATTTGTCCCCCGGGCCTGAGTTTGTTTTCTCTATTCAGACAAACCTGTGCTGTTGTTACTTGTTGGATAAATCAGTTTCTTAAAAAGTTAATATGTTAGTGTTTTGGGGGTTTTTTTGGAATAAAGTCCATCGTCAGTCCCTTGTCACTGGTATCGGTTGATATCGGATATCGACACGAGCCAAAATATCGATATCAGATCTGAAAAAGCTGGATCGGTCATTCCTAAAATATTTATGTATCGTTTTACTCCACCGACAGTTGTTTTATGTCTAAAATTCTGTTTAGAATTAGATATAATTTTTTTTTTTTTTTTCTCTTTGTTTTTTTTTTTTTTCTCCAGGATTTTCCCGTTGAACCGGATCAGAATTATTCTTTAGCGCTGGTCGAGGAGCAGGATTCAGAGGTGGGAAAACACAAAAACATAAAAATATAAAAACATAAAAACATAAAAACAAATCTGCTTCATAATATCACATCATGCAAAATCTGAGTTGTATTGGTTTAATTTTAGGCTCTAGAAATGTTACACTTCTTTATTTTCTCCTAAGATATTTTTCTGGTTTAAAGCTGCACTCTGTAACTTTTCAGGCCACCTGTTCGTCTCCGTGGAGATGTTATTGATTTTGCTGAAATGTTCCGCACTGTGACAATAAATTTAATTGTTTTGCATTTATTCAATTACACGTTTTAGTTTTCCTTTTAGAAATGTGTATTGTTGCTGTGAGTGGACTCGCCTCTCCAACGATCTGATCTGTAACTTGACCTGGTGCAGGGGAGATTATATACTGTAGTTTAATGCCAAACTGTGGAACATTCCAGGAAAATGAATAGCATCTTCATGGAGACAAGCAGGTTCTGGGGCCTCCACTTCAAATTATTACAAAATAATTGCAGATTTTTTTTTTTAAGTAAAAAGACATGATTAAATTATCTTTAAAAACAGTTTTTTTTTTTTTTTTTTTTTGTGGATTCATTTTGTTTATTTCTTTTTTCAGGGAAATGATGTGACAGAAGAAGACTGCTCCTCGAATTCAAACGGCAAAGGTAACGCTCCTTTTTTTACCGCAGAAAAAAACAGAAAAAAACACAACGCAGTGTCACCATTTTATCCCAGTGTCCACTAGAGGGCGACACAAACATCTGCTGTGCTCCAGGCTCAGACACGTTTAAAGCCTCAGTGTGGAACTTTAAGACAAAACCAGACTCAGATAAAAGTGTTTGTTTTCATTTTGGTTGTTTCTGTTGCCCTCACAAGTGTAGAAATCAGGCGTCTTCACTGTGAGCGGCTCGCGACTCCACAGACCTGACTCCACAGACCTGACTCCACAGACCTGACTCCACAGACCTGACTCCACAGACCTGACTCCACAGACCTGACTCTCCTGCTGGTCTCCATGGAAATCAAATGTTGTTCAGTTGGTTTTACCAGGCGTCCCCCAACCCCCGGGCCGCGGGCCGATACCGGACCCTGAGTCGTTTGGTACCGGGCCACGAAAGAACGACTCCCCCCTCCAGGACCAAAACCAGGACCAAAACCAGGACCAAAACCAGGACTAAACCAGGACTAAAACCAGGACTAAACCCGGTCTAAACCCGGTCTAAACCAGGTCTAAACCAGGACTAAAACCAGGACTAAACCAGGTCTAAAACAGGACTAAAACCAGGACTAAACCCAGTCTAAACCAGGACTTAAATCAGGACTAAACCAGGACTAAAACCAGGACTAAACCAGGACTAAAACCAGGTCTAAACCAGGACTAAAACCAGGACTAAACCCGGTCTAAACCAGGACTTAAATCAGGACTAAAACCAGGACTAAATGAGGTCTAAAACAGGTCTAAAAAAGGTCTAAAACAGGTCTAAACCAGGACTAAATCAGGACTAAACCAGGACTAAACCAGGTCTAAACCAGGTCTAAACCAGGACTAAACCAGGACTAAACCAGGTCTAAAACAGGACTAAAACCAGGACTAAACCCGGTCTAAACCAGGACTTAAATCAGGACTAAACCAGGACTAAAACCAGGTCTAAACCAGGACTAAAACCAGGACTAAACCAGGTCTAAAACAGGACTAAAACCAGGACTAAACCCGGTCTAAACCAGGACTTAAATCAGGACTAAAACCAGGACTAAATGAGGTTTAAAACAGGTCTAAAAAAGGTCTAAAACAGGTCTAAACCAGGACTAAATCAGGACTAAACCAGGAGCAAACCAGGTCTAAACCAGGTTCAAACCAGGACAAAACCAGATCTAAAACGGGTCTAAACAAGTTCTAAACCAGGACTTAAATCAGGACTAAAACCAGGTCTAAACTAGGTCTAAACCAGGACTAAACCAGGACTAAACCAGGTCTAAACCAGGACTAAACCAGGTCTAAAACAGGTCCCCCATCTACGAAATATTGTCGGACATAAACCGGTCTGTGGCACAGAAAAGGTTGGGGACCTAGAGAATTTTCCAGAGTTTGGTTTTAACGTTCTGTTTCCATGGAAACGTGCAGGTGACTTTCCACCTCCTGAAAGTTACATACTGTAGCTTTAAAATATCTTTAATTAAAACAAAAAAGTGTCTGTTTGCTGCAGGCAGAGGAAAAAAGGATCAAAACTTTAGACACAACGAAATCCAGACGCTGCAAAGAAGTAAAAGATCAGAACGAGAGACACTTTTACTTTGTTGGATTTTCTGGATTTTGTTTCGTTTAAATAATTTATTTTGCTCGTTTTGCACATCTCCTCCTCTCCTCCTCTCCTCCTCCTCCTCCTCCTCCTCCTCCAGAGTCGGGATTCTGCTTTCTGTCAGTTTTTTGTTTCATGTGGACGAGCTCAGTAATTACAGAGAAATTAATCATAAACCAGGTCCATAAATCTGCGTCTGACACTTACAGAAAACTCCACCTGAGACTCTGATCCGTCTCAGCTCAGGGTCGAAACTCCTGTTCAGAGTCGAGTTTCTTCTGCTGAACAGGACTGGTCTGGGTCTGGGTCTGGGTCTGGGTCTGGTCTGGTCTGGGTCTGGGTCTCTGGGTCTGGGTCTGGGGTCTGGGTCTGGTCTGGGTCTGGGTCTAGTCTGGTCTAGTCTGGTCTGGGTCTGGTCTGGGTCTGGGTCTGGGTCTAGTCTGGGTCTGGGTCTGGGTCTGGGTCTGGGTCTGGGTCTGGGTCTAGTCTGGGTCTGGGTCTGGGTCTAGTCTGGGTCTAGTCTGGGTCTGGGTCTAGTCTGGGTCTGGGTCTGGGTCTAGTCTGGGTCTAGTCTGGGTCTGGGTCTGGGTCTGGTCTGGTCTGGGTCTGGGTCTAGTCTGGGTCTGGTCTGGGTCTGGGTCTAGTCTGGTCTGGGTCTGGTCTGGGTCTGGTTAGTCGTTGGATGAGAAACCACTTGGTGCCACATTGGGGCATCAGTGACTCTAGTGCAAACTGTTGTTGTGTCTTTGGGCAAGATGCTTCCTCCTCATTGGTGTGAGTGTGATGTTTGTGTGTTGGTCGTTGGTCGTTGAGTCTGGGACGTCCTGTGTTTTCATTCATCAGTGCAGCGTGAAGCGCTCGTCGATGCGTCTAGAAAGTTCAGGCGCCAAAGTTCGGTGTCAGAAGTTGAAGTTGAGGCATCAGGACTCACAGCATCAACCAATCAGGGACGACTAACAGTGACATAGTCACGGTATTATCTAGAAGAAAAAGAAGAAAAAAGAAGACCCGAGGGGGCGGAGCCACAAACATGAGTGTATATAAATATATATAAATATATATAATATATATATATATATATATAAATATATATAAATATTTACACTCCACGACTGCTGAGCCGATCACCAGGACTGGACCAGGTCGGCTCCGCTCAAATGAAGCTCATGATGTTCACATTTACAGGAGTGAATTTGGAGCCAGGTTCTGTGTTATGAACAGGATTTTAGAAAAAAAAACTCCCCAGGATCAAGTGTCGCGGGTTAATACCAACATTTTAAGACCAAAATGACGAGGAAACAGCAGCAGGTTCAGAGAGAAGAGCCACAATATTCAAATGTAAATCAATGGAGTCCAAATGTCCAAAGGAGCCGGAAGATCCGCAGGCAAACTTCCTGTTTGGAACGCGGCGGTTTGTGCGTTAGCTGCGTCCGTTTATATAAACAGTCAGAGGAGTTTAAACTCAAACACAAAGACTCCAACTAGAAGCGTCCGGCGCGATTTTTGCCGCTCTGGTCTGAACCAACCATCAGTCTGTCCCAGGGCGGCTGTGGCTACAGAGTTTGGAGCGACTGAACTGTACAGAAGTGTTTTTAGTCTGTAAAAGTGTTTTCTCAGACACAAGTGTAACTGTGTGAACTGTGTGTGGGGCAGAGTTGAACGTGAATCGTCAGGCTGAGCTCATATTTTAATTTCCACATCTCCAGTTTGATCCTTGACCCCTCACGACCCCTCATGACCCCTCCATGACCCCTCACGACCCTTCCATGACCCCTGCTTTGGCTGCTCTGTTTGACCTTTAACCTCGCTTGCAGGTGGGCGGAGCCGCTGTGCAGAGCTGGCCAATAACAATCAGGGCTGTGACACGCCCTCTTTGGGATTGGACAATGAGCAAGCTCAAGCTGACGCGCGATTCGCCGGTGAGTGGCACCCTCCCACTACACGGACCAATCAGGGCGAGGCATGAGGCTGCGGGGGGCGGGGCTTAGACAGGAACGCCAAAAAGATCCAGGAAAACTGCATGAACGAAATAAAAACGTGTTAAAGCAGCACAAAACATCACCACAAACTTTAAATTATAGAAAAAAAACTGGATTTCACAAATTACAGCTGGACTATGAATTTTTAGGCAACAATGTGGAAAATCTCGGAAAATAGAATCAGAAATACTTAATGCTTAATGCTTTTGTGCATCCTTTTGTTTTTTTTTTTTGTTTTTTACATAAATCTCTTTTAAAAAATCATTTCATAACTTTAATGTATATGTTTTTGAACATTATAAATCTTAGATTTTACACACATCATCTTGTCTCTTGGTTGAGAATTTCCATTTTTTGTAAATTTCCACACAATAAAAAAAAAATCTGATTTTGGAGACTGATTGCATAATGTCCTGGTTAGGGCAGATTAATAACTAAACTAAACTAAAACACAAAATAATTTTCAATCAATTAAAGTTCAGGTTAAAGGTCGAGGGTCCACTACCTGCTCGTCTCCGTGGAAATGTTCCATAATGTTCTGGAATGTTCCATAATCTGTGTGTCATTCGTTCATTTGTTTTTCAAAATAAAACCAAAAAAAAAAAAAAAAATTTTCTTCATTATTTGTTTCCAAAACCAAAGTGAAAAAACTGATAACGATTTGTTTTTTCAGTTTTTGATTTTGTGTTTAAATGAAAAATGGAAAAAACAGATAACGGACTGAACCAGGACTAAACAGGATTAAACCAGGATTAAACCAGGACTAAAACAGGACTAACCAGGACTAAACCAAGACTAAACCTAAACTAAAACAGGACTAAAACAGGACTAGACCAGGACTAGACCAGGACTAAACCCTGACATAACTGGTCTCAGTCCTGTTCCTGGTCCCGGTCAGTTAAACGGGAAACGGCCATTATCCATTTTTTTCCATTTTTCATTTAAACCCAAAATCGAAAACTGAAAAAACGAATCATTATCTGTTTTTTTTTGTTCATTATTTGTCTCCAAATAATGAATTTTTTGTTTTGTTTTTTTCATTTTCTTATTTTCGGTTTTATTTTGAAAAACGAACAAACGACACACAGATTTAACTTTAACTTTAAACATTTCCATTTCGCATTTATTCATTACGTGTATTATCGCCGCTCAAAAATACAAGCAGGCGACGAATCCTCCACTAGAAATGTTCCGCAGTGCACCTTTTAAGACATTTGTGCCCTCTGCATTAAAAAATATTCATAATTTATTACAAAAACAACGTGCTGCTTTAACGCCGACATATCTTTAAAAAAAAATTTTAAAAATCTCCAAATTTCTATGATTCTGTTTTGTTTTCGTGGCTGCGCATTTGACCCGTGTCTGTGCCCACCCCCTACCCCCCGTCCCCGCCCCGCCCCCGTCCCCACCCTTACACGTGCTGCCGCTTCCCCCCCTCTTTATTTCTCTGTACCACGGCGCCCCCCCTCTGTCTGTCCGTGTCACTACATGTTTGTCGTTTTCGTGTTTTCGTGTGTTTTGTGGGTTGTTGTTTTTTTCGCTTCTGGGCTGCTCACCTCCTCTCCACCCCCCTCCCCCCCCGTCCTCTCGCTGCGTTCTGTGCGTTGGATTTCGTGGTTAAATCTTGTGTCGTAAACGTGTCCTGTTTCTCTCGTTTTGTCCTCTCTCCTTCCCTCCCTCCCTCCCTCCTTCCTCCCTCGTCTCCTCTCCTTGTCTCCTTCATAAACCCCGGTTGTGTCTGGACTCGGCCGGTGAAGAGTCCTGCCCAGTGCACGTTGAAGAATAGGTATGGAGACGGAAAAAAACGGAACGGACCGAGTCACCTGCACGATATCGATGATAAAGCTTCGCCGCGGGGCTTTTCTAGAACGTCTGCCGTCTGCTTGTCTCCGTGGCGATGTTGAATGTCCCACAGTATTAAATGGCATTAAACCAGGTCTCAGGTCCAAACTCAAGACCTCGTTTGGATCATTCATGGTCTAAAACTGTCCTTAATCCTGGTCCTGGTCCCGTCAAGATCTAAACCAGGTCTCAAAGTCCCAAATAAGACCCCCCCCCTTGAACCCTTCCTGGTCTAAAACTGTCCCAAATTCTGGTCTGGTCCAATTGTGAGTATCTAAAATCTTCTCAAAACCAGGTCTGGACTTCCTGTCAGGATCTAAATCAGGTCTCAAGTCCCAAATAAGAACTCCCTTGGACCCCTCATGGTCTAAAACGGTCTCAAGTCCTGGTCTGGTCCAATTGTGAGGATCTGAAATCGTCTCTAAACCAGGTCTGGACTGAAACAGTCAAATTCCATGGACTTGGTTGTAGGAACCTAGACCTATTACCCTCCTATGGACCCCTCATGGTCTAAAACTGTCCCAAATCCTGGTCTGGTTCTAATTTATAAATCTCAAAACCAGGTTTGGACTAAATCAGGTCGAGTTCATACAACCAGGTCCATGGAAATCAACTAAGACCCCCCCTTGGACCCCTCAATAGTCCCAAATTCTGGTCCAATTATTAATCTAATTTATTAATCTAAAATCTCAAAACCAGATCTGAACTTCTCGTCAGGATCTAAACTAGGTCTCAAGTCCCAAATAAGATTCCTCATGAACCCTTTCTGGTCTAAAATGGTCCCAAATTTTGGTCTGGTCCAATTGTGAGAACCTAGAATCATCTCTAAACCAGATCTGAACTTCCCACATGGAACTAAACCAGGTCTCAGGTCCAAACTCAAGACCGCCTTTGGATCTTTCATGGTTTAAAACTGCCCATAATCCTGGTCCTGGTCCTGTCAAGATCTAAACCGGGTCTCAAAGTTCCAAATAAGACCCCCCTTGAACCCTTCCTGGTCTAAAACTGTCCCAGATTCTGGTCTGATCCAACTGTGTGGTCTCTAAACCAGGTCTTGACTTCCCACATGGATCTAAAGCAGGTCTGAAGTCTAAAACCAAGACCTCCTTTAGATCCTTCATTGTCTAAATCTGGCCGTAATCCTGGTTCGGTCCTAATTTTATTAATCTAAAATCTCAAAACCGAGTCTGGACTTCCTGTCAGGATCTAAACCAGGTCTCAAGTCCCAAATAAGACCCCCCCTTCGGATGCTTCCTGGTCTAAAACTGTCCAAAATTCTGGTCTGGTCCAACTGTTTGGACTCTAAACCAGGTCTGGCCTTCCCACGTGGATCTAAACCAGATCTCAAGTCTAAAACTAAGACCTCCTTTGGATCCTTCCTGGTCTAAAACTGTCCGTAATCCTGGTCCGGTCCTAATTTATGGATCTAAAATCATCTTTAAACCAGGTCTGAACTTTCCGTCAGGATCTAAACCAGGTCTCAAAGTTCCAAATAAGACCCCCCTTGAACCCTTCCTGGTCTAAAACTGTCCCAAATTCTGGTCTGGTCCAACTGTGAGGTCTCTAAACTGGGTCTTGACTTCCCACATGGATCTAAACCAGATCTCAAGTCTAAAACCAAGACCTCCTTTGGATCCTTCCTGGTCTAAAACAGTCCCAAATCCTGGTCTGGTCCTAATTTATGAATTAAACTTTTCTTACATTTTTGTGTGTTTTTATTGCTTAAATATCTGATCCTCAGGAAAGACCAGCTGGACTTTTCTTGCCCTTTAAACCTGTTGATAATCTAATCCTGGTCTGATCTAAAACCTGGACAAGCAAACGGCAGATCCTCTGTCAGAAAAGTTACACAGTGCAGCTTTAAAACCATCATTTCTGTCAAGTTTTATTAATTAATTAAACAGTTTAAACAGTTCGGAACTGGCAGAATGTGCTTGTAGTTTTGGGCACAAATTTTAATATACAGTATATATATTTAAAACATAGTATATAATAAATACTTTTAGTTTAATTGTTTATATAAAAGTTAAAGAAAAGATCTGATCTATTGATCTATAACAGTGTTTCCTCGTCACAAACAGACCTGGAGTGTGTTTTGTTTTATTCACATGTTTAACTCAGAAACCTGCACATTTAGATTTAGGTTGAGTTTTTCTACTTGGATTATTTGTTAGGCAATAAAATAGTTCTTCTGTTGCCTTCATACCAGTGTTTTCCTTTCACACCTGCAAATAAACCAACACTGGTTTGATTGACGTATTTCCCTCCCGCACACCAGACCTCTCAGAAACGAGGCCAAGACGCACCGTCTCAATCAATCAATCAATCAAACTTTATTTCTATAGCACTTTCCAACAACCAAAGCCGACCAAAATGCTGTACAACATTAAAACAAGATAAAAAACAATAAACATCATACAGGTCATACATACAAACATACAAACAGGTCAACAAAGCACATTACACCATTAAAATAAAGAAAGTGTCACAGGGCCACTAAGGCTGCGTTCAGACTGCAGCCTGAATTTGAAATTGATTTTTTGTCTCTATGTTCCTGTATTTGATTTTTTAATGTCAGTCTGAACCACACAGATCCGATTTTTTCAAATGTGACCCAGGACACTTGGATATGTGCTCCTGAAACTGATACATATCTGATCTTTTGACATGTGCTTCAGTGTGAACGGCCAAAGTGCATTCATCCACCTACACGTTATCAACAAGACACAAACGTCACTATTCTGCACTGAAGTAGGTGAAAATTGTTAATAAACTCCGTGTCACTGAAGTGAAGCACATCACCACTCACCACAAAACACCACGACCAAAAACCTCGTCCTTCTCCTTCTCAATCTCCTCCTTAAAACAAGTAAGTTGTTCATGTTCTGGCTCCGGTACGAGAGGAACTTTAAAATCTCCAGGTGCTCGATGCTGCGTCCATGTTTGGACAACTTCTGTAAACACAGAGACGCTCGCTGCGGTTGACGTCGTCGTGTCTCCAGTGTCACATGTGGGACACTTTCGAGCCATTTACTGTTCACACTGGAGTCACATACAAGTCGCATTTAATTGGAAATGTGAACGACCTCGCAAAAACATCAGATTTCACAAAAAAATCAGAATTGAGCGTTAAGCCCTACAGTCTGCACGGAGCCTAAGTGTTAAAAGCCGTTCTAAATAAGTAGGTTTTAAGTTTGGCTTTGAACAGCGGCAGGTCAGGGATGGACCGTAACTCAATGGGCAAAGAGTTCCAGAGTTTTGGACCGTCCCCTGCCAAAGAACAATCGGCCCACTGTTGGCACCGGGACCGGGGGACCTCCAGCAGATGTTGCCCAGCAGATCGTAGAGTCTCGCACAGTGATCTTCCCACAGAGACCCTCCGCGGGGCACAGACGCCTCGGGCCGGTCCCTGTCGCCCCGGCAGACACGGTTTCTCGACCCCTGCCTAAGAACCTCCTCGTCACATCCCTTAAAGGTTGTATAGAGGATTTTTTAAGGGAAGAGAAATACAGCGACAGTCCTTTTTCAAATGTTGTCCGTGTGTGACACCACCTTCCTCCTCCACAGCTCCTTCAGTAGAAACACCTCCTCCTCCCGCCTCTTTACTCTAGAAATCACGCTTGTTTACAGCCGGTGCGCGTTCAGGAATTCCCGTTGAAGTGACCTGTCTAGAAATAAAATCCTTCGTCCGCTTCAGTCGCGCCGTCGCTGTAAGAAATCTCCAAGACTCACCTCAGTTTTGTTTTGCTCCTTTTTCCCTTCTCTTCACGACTTCAAAAAACGACTTTATTTTGCGGCGAACTGGTCGTGGATTCTCGTCCGCCGTCGCAACAAACTTTGTGCGAACTGCGAGGACGCTACAGATTAAAAAAGCCTCGAAAAAACCGCCGCATAAACCACGTAATCCCCGCGCGCCGGCGAGTCAGTTACACTAGAAACGTAGGGAGTTTGATTGACGACCTAACAGCCAATAGAAAATGAGGGAGCCTCGTTTTGTATTGGCTGATGTTTATCTGGCCTCATTATGTCCACGGTTGATAGATTTTCATTCTTTTTTTTTTTCGTCATCATAATTACAAAACTGCTGCATCTCTGTAATGGTATTTTAAACTTTCACTGACAATTTGAAACAAAACAAAAAAAATCCTCCATACAACCTTTAACCGGAGCACAGGGACCCGCCAGTCACAGAGCTTCCTGGTTGACCACGGCTCGAGGTTCACCCCATGTCTTCTTCACTCAGCACAAACAGGAAATTAAATCATTAGTCTCCCCTCCCATGATGCATTTGGAATAGTTGGTTTGGACCGAGTGTCTATGGTCTGGACCCGAGTTCTCGTTCTCACCAGAAGGACCAGAGTTTAACAGTTGGTGCAGAATCAAGCGGACCGAGACCTCTTTTTTGAGTTCTTCTTCTTGAGGTCTTTAAGTCTGGTCCTAACTTATGGATCTAAAATCTCAAAACCAGGTCTGGACTTTCCTTCAGAATGTAAGACAGGTGTCAAGTCCCAAATAAGACTCCCCTTTGGACCCGTCATGGTCTAAAACTGACCCAAGTCCTGGTGTGGTCCTGATTTATAGATCTCAAAACCAGGTCTAGTTCCTATAACCAAGTTCAGCCAAGTACAACCAACCAGAATCAAGACGACCGAGACCTCTTTTTTGAGTTCTCAGTCCGACTTACTTAAACTTAAACCAACAAAAATTAACTTAACTAATTCTGGTTCGAATGAAAATTTTGGTGCAGCAACTTCTGTCGCTGTGAAGGAACCGCCACCACGTCATGACATCACAAGGTGGAACAGAGCAGTTTGAGCTTTGGAGATGTAGACAGACGAATAATAAAGATTTACTCAAACACGTGAATGAAACAAAACACAACTGCAGGTCTGTTTTTGAGGAGGAAACAACATCAGAACACGACTAAAACCTCACAAGAGTCAGTTTTGTGTAAATAAACGATCTTTACGACGGTGAATGATCTAATTATTTCTAAAAATGGGATAAACTAACGCAATATTTTCATTTTTATTTCAGATTTATTGTATCTTGGAGGCTACAGACCCGAGCCAACACACACCTCCAACTCCAATCTGAACCTGGAAGAACCCGGACTGGACCAGAACCCGGACTACAGAGAGACCCAGAGTCCCAGACCAAGACCACGAGGACCTCTTTTCTTTTAGACCTGCCTGTAATCCTGGTCCAAATCCTAGTCTAGACCAGATCATCAAGAAAAAACAGGTGGACTTTTCTCGCCCAATAAAACAAAACTGATCCAAAACCTGGACTAGAGAGAGCCAGATTTCTAGACCAAGACCTCCTTTAGACCAGTCCATAAACCAGGTCCAAGTTCTAATCAAGACCCAATCCTCAATCAAGACCAGGTGGACTTTTCTCGCTGTTTGGAACATAAATTAATCCTAGACTGATCCAAAACCAGGACTACAGAGAGTCTTGGTCCCAAAGTGCTAGACCAAGACCACCTGTCCATAATCACAGTCCCAAATCCAAGTCAAAACCCGGTCATCAATCAGGACCAATCTGACTTCTGATCCTACTCAAATGACAATAATCCAGACCAAAACCAAGACTTCAGAGAGACCCAGAGTTCTAGACCAAGACCAAAACGTGTCCATAATCCAAGATGAAGTCCAAATCAAGACACAATCCTCCATCTGGACTAAATCAGGTCTAAATCAAAAGACCAAGTCCATGGAATTCAACTAACACCCTCTTGGACCCCTCATGGTCTAAAACTGTCCCAAATTCTGGTCTGGACCAAATGGAACTTAAATAATCATTTCAAAAACCAGGTCTGCACTTTCCTCATGGAACTAAACCAGGTCTCAAGCCCAAAACTAAGACCTCCTCTGGAAACTTCATGGTCTTAAACTGTATGTAATTCTGGTCCAGTCCTAATTCGTGGATCTAAAATCTCAAAACCAGGCCTGGACTCAACCAGGTCTCAAGTTCTAAATAAACCACCCTTTGGACCCCACGTGGTCTAAAACTGTCCCAGATTCTGGTCTGGACCAAATGGATCTTAAATCATTTCAAAAAACAGGTTTGACTTCCCACATGGAACAGACCACAAGACCACCTCTGGATCCTTCGTTGTCTACAACTGTCCGTAATTCTGGTCCAGTCCTAATTTATGGATCTAAAATCTCAAAACCAGGTCTGGACTTTACTTCAGAATGTAAGCCAGGTGTCAAGTCCCAAACAAGACTCCCCCTTGGACCCGTCATGGTCTAAAACTGACCCAAGTCCTGGTCTGGTCCTAATTTATAGATCTCAAAACCAGATCCATGAGTCCATACCATTCAACCGAGACCCTCTGCTGACCCCTCATGGTCTAAAACTGTCCCAAATTCTGGTCTGGTCCAATTGTGTGGACCTAACATCGTCTCTAAACCAGGGATGCAACGATATTCGATACAATATTGAATCGTTTGATACTCGATACTCAGGATTCGATACTCGTCTTCGGTCGATTCACACGTGCGTTGTCATTTATTTTAGTCCAAAAGAAAAACAGTTCTCGCAGCGTCCTCCTACAGCAGAAATATTCTAACAGAGGAGGGTTCGATCTTTCACTCACTTTTTATTTTACGTTCATAGACCCAGAAATGACAAAGATAATCACTTTTAAATACTTTAGAATCACTTTTGCAGGTCAGTGTGGGAGGAGCTTCGTACCGTCCGTCTCTGCTGGAGGGACACGGACATGAGGCGTGTGAACCCAGAGAGAGACAGACTCAGGAGAAAAGAAACCATCCAAAAATCATCAACAAAAAAGGAAAAGTCTGATAGTTAAACTCCCCCAGCGTCTAAATTAAGAGTCGACTGGCTGTATTATAAAATATAAAACAGCCTGAGAAAGAACTATTCTTATTTTCACTCAATAAAAACACTGAGAATCATTGAACCAAATGAACGAAAACAAAGGTCTTCAACGTTTTTCAGACCAGGGACCCCAGACTGATGAGCTGGAGCAGGGACCCATACAGTTGTGTTTTATATTAAATTGGACCTATTTTCATGTATAAACAATTACTCTGTTATTGTACGTTCGATACTCGGGGAGTATTTCATCGAGGTTTATCCTGAAATCCTGAGCTGAAACTTGCTCCATCTTCAGTTTGTAGATAACGATAATCTTGTAACATTCAAATAAAACAATATTAATATTTACACGTTTTTGGTTCGCTGCGGGTGGATCATTTAAGTTAGGATTTTTATTTCCTACGAGGACGACTCAAATATACATTGAGTACCGTATTTTTCGGACTATAAGGTGCACAAAAAATGTGTCATGAAGATGAAAAAAAACATATATAAGTCACACTTTCGGGGGGAAATTTGTTTTATAAAATCAGAGAACAGGAAGCGACATTTTCTGTTGTCAGTCAAGTTGTAGTAAAAACAATAGAAGAGAGAACAACAGACTGTTAACGTCACATATGAACAGTTCTTCAGATAAACTATAACATAAACAACAGAACAGAACAAGTTTAACAAACTCTCCATCTCACTCCAAATCACTAAATCCATTCAATTCTTCATCCTCAGTGTCACTTCTGAACTTCCCCGGAGGTAAACAGAGCGCCGCTTCCTCTTCTTTGTCGCTGACGTCAGACTCGGCATCAGTTCCAGTTAGAATTATTCCTGCAAAGATGTTCATTTTGTCTTCTTCTGTACTTTAATGTCTTGGGTTCTTTTTAAAGACAAATACAGTAAAGTGGATTTACCTTGTTGACATGTTTCGGCTGCTGCATCTTCAGAATCGTCCGAGCAGCTCGCAGCCAAATTCATGTCAACAAGGTAAATCCACTTTACCGTATTGTCTCTGAAAAGAACCCAAGAAGTTATAGAATTATTCGGGTCTTTCTGAATCCCGACAGGATGGTTTCGGTGTCACTGAAGTCCAGACTTTGTCCATCCATCCAGTGACTTCAGGAAAGTTTCACAAGTACAAGTATCGCAAGTTTTTCACTCACTCCAAACATTCTTTCTGCTGCTCGATTATCGTTTTCATCAGGACAGAGGCTCTTTCTGCAGGAGACATGCGCAGTAGAGCCAAGTGACAGTGGTGCAGGAGGAACAGGAGCAGCAGATACTCACACACAAGACTAGAGCCTCTCCACACTTCACTCAAACATTTTAATAAAGAAGTCGCAGGAAACACCCAAACCAGGAAAAAAAAGTGCCACTTATAGTCAGAAAAATACGGTAATTTATGTATGTTTCATTAATATCATAGTGTTATTATATTTTACTCATACATAAAATTACTCACGACTTCTGATCCTACACAAATGACAATAATCCAGACCAAAACCTGGACTCTAGAAAGACCCAGAGTTCTAGACCAAGACCGAAACCTGTCCATGATATCAAACCGTGTTATGAGATATGAGATCAAATCGATATCGTAAAACGTGTATCGAGTCGAGTATCGAATCGTGGGAAAACTGTATCGTTGCAAACCCGGTCTGGACTTCACACGTGGAACTAAACCAGGTCTCAAGTCCAAAATAACCTGCACCCTCCACCTCGGACCCCTCAGGATCTAAAACCATCTCAAAACCATGTCTGGACTAAATCAGGTCTGAGCCAACTCCTGGATCCCACATGGTCCAAACTTCTTCCAAATCCTGGTCCGGTTCTACTTTCTGGATCTAAAAATCACCTCTAAAACCAGGTCTGGACTTCCCACCAGGATCTAAACCAGGTCTGAACAAACAAGACCCCCCGATGGTCTAAAACTGTCTCGGGTCCTGGTTTAGTCCTGGTCCGACCCGTGGAGCTGGATTCTGTACTGTGAATCTTCCAAACACGTTCTGACTTCACTTCTTCGTCGTTTGTGGATTTTATTTTTTTGTTTTTATCACAAGAACTTCCTCAAAAGTCTGTGATCCGTCCTTTTTTGTCCAAACTTCAAATCGTATTATTTATAATTTTTGGTTTTATTTGTTTACATCGAGCGGTAAAATGTGGTTTACAGTTCTGTTTTGTCATTTTGTTGTTAGTGGTGTTTGGATTTTGATTTTAATCTCGTGGCTAACGCTAATTAGCACTTCCTCGTTTACACCAAGCGGTTTCCAATTGGACAGTTGAATGTTTTAATTAATATTCGTAAATTATGTAAATTAATACAAAAGTGTCATGAGTTTGTATTCGATTGCGTTAAAATACATTGGCCGGTTAAAGTGGTAAAACACAGGGAGAACTACATTGACCATGATCCTTTGCTCTGTTTAAAAAGACGTATTCTGCTTTTTGGGGGATAATTAGTATTAAATTTAAACTTTCGTGGGTTATTACTTGTCACTAAAGCAGCTTAATAATAGAAAAATAAATTGAATTGTTGAAAAATGTTCAGCAATTCTTCAAATTTTCAGAAAACAAATCTGAAAACTTAAATTTTCTGAGCGCTCAAGGTTAAGGGAGAGTTTCTTTATCCCTCATGAGTCGTAAGGGGAAATTCATTATCTGCATTTGACCCGGCCTTCAGTGTCTCTTTGGGTTAAACGTCCATTTGACCCATCCTTCAGCTGCATTTGACCCATCCTTCAGCTGCATTTGACCCATCCTTCAGTATCTCCTGTGTTAAATGTGCATTTGACCCGTCTTTAAGTGTCTCTCTAGATTAAACCTGCACTTGACTCATCCTTCAGTGTCTGGGTTAAAGCTGCATTTGACCCATCTTTCAATGTCTCTGGGTTAAACCTGCATTTGACCCATCCTTCAGTATTTCTTGCATAAACCTGCATTTGACTCGTCCTTCAGTGTTTCTGGGCTAAAGCTACATTTGACCCATCCTTCAGTCTCGTGTAGTAAACCTACATTTGACCCATCCCTCAGTATTTCTTGTATTAATCCTGTATTTGCTCCATCCTTCATTGTCTCTGGGTTATACCTGCATTTGCTCCATCCATCAGTATTTCTTGGGTTAAAATTGCATTTGACCCATATCTCTGTGTCTCTAGGTTAAACCATCCTCTAGTGTCTCTGGGTTAAACCAGCATTTGACCCATACTTCAGTATCTCTGGGTTAAATCTGCAGTTGACCCATTTTTCAGTGTCTCTGGGTTTAACCTGCATTTGACCCATTCTTCAGTATTTCTTCTGATAAACCTGCATTTGACCCGTCCTTCATTGTCTCTGGGTTATACCTGCATTTGACCCATCCTTCAGTATCTCTGGGTTAACCCATCCTTCAGTATTTCTTGTTTTAAACCTGCATTTGACCCATCCTTCAGTATTTCTTGTTTTAAACCTGCATTTGACCCATCCTTCAGTATTTCTTCTGATAAACCTGCATTTCACCCGTCCTTCATTGTCTCTGGGTTATACCTGCATTTGACCCATCCTTCAGTATCTCTGGGTTAACCCATCCTTCAGTATCTCTTGTTTTAAAGCTGCATTTGACCCATCCTTCAGTATCTCTTGTTTTAAACCTGCATTTGACCCATCCTTCAGCGTCAGGAGCAGTGGGACCCTCTCCAGATCTTGAGCCGGTCTCGGTCAGGTCTTCTCTTCACTGGAGAATTTGACCCGTTGTTCTGGGTTGTAGGGTCAGTATTTGTATTAGCGCCAAAAAAAACAGGGAGAAAACTAACGAGCCTCAAACACAAAACTCAATCAAAACGGTAAAACTTGTTATGAAGCATTAAAGTGTCAAACCTTTTTATTTTACATTTTCGGTGTTAAACTCTGCTCCAATGTGACTTTTCCGCTTGGTGTAAACTTTTAGTCTGTAACCAATGACGACATAAAAACACAAAACTGCTGCTCCTTTTACCAGCCAAAATCAGGGGCTCTACTGTGAACGGCAATCGCTTTTCAAAATATTCTTCTTCTTCTGAAAATCACTCCTTCCTCTCCTCCACCTCCTCGTCTTCTGCCTCTTCTTCTCCATCAGGGACGATCCGAAAGACTGCGACCGCCGCCGTTTTGCGAGTCCCCTGCCGAATGTGAACTCAAAAGACTACAAACATGGAGGACGGAACAGGAAGTGGAGGCCGATCTGTAACTAAACTGGAATTCTTACGGTTTTAAGGTAGAATGTCACTCGTAGAAAGAGAATGTACTGAACAAACTCAACAAAACTCATGTGTGGTGTTCAAACATCGTTCGGTTTCTTGTTTTAAAGACGCACTGTGGAACTTTTCTGGTAGAGGCCATCTGATTGAATAGAAAAGAACTTCCATTTAATGTGGAAAATCACAGGATATTGTCTAAAGAAAGAGGGTTTTAATTATTATCATGGGATCGGAATCGGTATCGAGTATCGAGGTCTATTCCTGAGTATTAAATGAAACAGAAAACACACACCAAAGTAGAGGAGCAAATGCAAGCGACAGCAATCCAAAAGTGAAAAAAAAGCATAGCTCATTCAGATGGCCGATGTCCAAAAGCTTTTTTTATATTTTTAAATTACGTTTTGGCAAAAAGCCTTTGTCAGATCATTTTCCTGGCTTTGGATTCATAGTACTGAAATTGAGTTTGAAATTTTAGTATTGTGGCATTAAACAGAGAAGGGTTAGTGTGTCTAGGGTTTGGGTTATGTTTGGGTTAAAAGGGTAAAGGGCAAATTATATTTCTGCGTCAACTCATCGCACTCTGCCGCTGTCGCCTTGTTGCCGTCGTTTTTGCTTTATGGATCCGCGTCGAGGTTTATGCACCACAACACTAGAGGCGTTTTCAGGTCGACAAAGAACCTCATCTTGAACCGACTCACATGTTCACGCCGGAAATCAGCGCATTCAGGAACAGAAAAGTTGGTTCCCAACAGGAACCAAGTAAAACTTGTTTTTGACGTGAACCGTGACGACACAGGAGACGTCAACACGTTCATCCGAGTCACACACAGTCAGTGTTGGGGAGTAACAGATTACATGTACCAGAGTAATGTAATCAGAGTGCAGATTATGAGTAACTGTATTCAGTTACAGTTACTGTTTCAGTGAGTGGTAATTGGATTACAGTTACTTTGCTGAAATAAATGGATTACACGGTGGTATTTTCCTGTTTTCCTGTTTTCACATTTTGGGCGATATCCCCCCCCCTTTTTTTTTTTTTTTCGGTAATTCCACTTATTGCCGGAAAATAAACCAGGTCTAAACCAGTTCTAAACCAGTTCTAAACCAGGACTAAAACCAGCAGGACTAAAGCAGGACTAAAGCAGGACTAAACCAGGCAGGACTAAAGCAGGACCAAAACCAGGACAGGACTAAACAGGACTAAACCAAAACAGGACAGGACTAAACCAGGACTAAACCAGGACTAAACCAGGACTAAACCAGGACTAAACCAGGACTAAACCAGGACTAAACCAGGACTAAACCGTGCTGCTCAGACCGTGTCTCCTCGTTTTCTATCAATAATATTTTTAATTTGGTTCAGTAAAGTCTGGGCTTTTTATTTTCTTTTATCAGACAAAACATCTTATGTGAAGATTTCCTCGTCTTTGTTTCTCTACAGTAAATCAAGTAATCCAAAGTATTCAGATTACATTACTCACTTTAAGT